ATCATCTTTTACAAATCAATTAAACAATCAAAAAATAAGCAATAATTCTTATTTCCGATCATCTACTATTGAATCAACTTTTACAAATCAATTAAACAATCAAAAACAATCAATTAAACTATTGAATCAACTTTTGCAGCCATACATCATTTTCACGCAGTTCACTTCTGAGATTAACCTGCAGAAACCAAACATTTGCTCAAACAACACTTTCTACACATCTAAAACCTACAAACAGCAAATTATTGAATTCTAGGTACTTAACCAAACATTTTCAAACCAAAAGTATATAAACTTACCAATTGTTTATGGACATTTTATAACGCGGATGCAGGTAGGCAGCGTCTCGTATATATCGATTTAGCCATATAATGCCGAAACCACAAGCCTACTGTAGCTCTATCTCTATCGGTGGGAGGTAGATACTTGATGCTTCCCGTCGTCAAACGCTCCAACGCCAAGCATATGAGAGGACCACAATCTCCTCTGGCTCCGCTCGTTTGTTGTGGCGCGGTCTCGTCTCTAATAACTGTAATATTGAGCTTCTTTGGCTTCTTGTTTCCAGAACGAGTCCAATAATTGATCGCATCCAAGAATTTAGCCAAATGAGAGCTCCATCCCTTAATAACATCTCTTAAATCAGCCAATGATATGTAATTTATCATGCTGTCATACACTATTGTCTTAAGGGATGGGAGCTGAAGCTCGACGAGAATCCAATGTTTACGTTCCAAAACAGGGATAAACACCTGCAATCATAAGTAATAATTCATTCATTTGCGCACTTATTTCATAAAACCTTTAAACTCAATCTAAAATAAATACTAACCTTATCGACCTCCCACCATGCAGGATAAAGTTTAGCTTGTCCATTGCCCAAATCAAATGATTCATCTCGTGCATTCTTCAAGTGAACGGCGTGAAAAGACGTCGGCATAATTGTATATCGTATATTTTTATTTTTCTTAAGTTTTCTTATTATTAGAAGACGTGTCACCCACGCATCGATATGCTGTTTTACAAAAAAAGACATATATTAGTGACTTACATAAATTTAAAAAAAAAATTAATCAAATTGAAATATAAGAAAAATATAAGACTTACCCCCCCATCGAAATAGCCATTGTCTTCGACCCCTAATAATACGCCCCACCAAGACCGATCAAGCAACAAATAGATATCATCGGTGAGCTTGCATATGTCAGTGAAACACCCCTGGCTCTGCTCATGTAGATAAAAATCAACAGCGGTCTTAGCCCAAAGGGTGTTATCCAGAATTGTGTCCGGTAGTTGATCCCTCTCCTCTTCAGATACCGGTATGGTACTGGCCGGTAACTCATACGAGAGCCAACTTGAATCCATCATGTTCGGCACGTCAGAGGGTTTCTCAAGAAGCCTACATATGACGCCATGTGAATCGGGCTCTTGAATGGTGGGAGGGACCTCTTCAATGATGACAGTGGCCTCTTGAACGGTGGGAGGGGACTCTCGAGGAATGATAGGGGGGCCTCTTCAACGATAGGAGTGGACTCTTGAGGGATGACAGGCGAGTCGGGCTTCTTCTTGCGGTGTCTTCGCACTATTGGGGTGTACGGAGACTTAATAGCACGTGCACGCTGTCTGATGCGTGAACTCCGTCGTGCAAGCATAACCCGACGTAAAGCATCCACTCTATCGGGCCGCTAAATAATTAAATAAAAAAAATCAGTAAATAAACAGACATGATATTTAAACAGTGAAAACAAAGACAAATATGTTTCAAACTTGCATTGTATTCACCCAAGTCATTATTCTATCATAGTTCACAAAATGCATCAGATAACAAAGAAAAATATGTTTCAAACTAATACCCTGAAGTTAGTATTTGTCTTTGTTTTGTCTATTGGTTGAAGTAATGCAATCCATTCAAGTTTCAATTTGCAGAAGAAGAAATAGTTTACTTTCGCAACACGAAACTTAAAATCGCAACGCGAAACCAAAATCGCAACGCGAAATGAAAATCGCAACGACAGAATCGCAATGCGAACTGAAAATCGCAACGAAAGAATCGCAACGCGAAATGAAAATCGCAATGCGATTTTACTAAGCAACCGAATAAATTTACTAAGCAATCTAAGTGAAATGGCTAATCTAAGTGAAATTACGAGTAAATTTATCATTAAGTTAAATATGGAAAATCTTAAACTTACCTCGTTGCGTAGAGTATGAACCTCATTCTGCAACGATACTATCATCTCACGTAGAGCGGCAACCTCACCACGTAAAGTTGACACCTCCACACGCCATGTACCATCGTTATCGCGTAGAGTACCGATCTCCTCACGCAAGGCATTGACCTCATCACGTAACTCCCTTGACTCATCCCGTTGAGGTGGAGAACAGGGAGATAGGAGTCGTGGCATCTTTGCCGGTCGCCTATCATGAGGTGATGGTGGAGAAGAGGCTCGATGATGTGACGGGATAGGTGATGGCTCTCGTTCTAGAGGTGTATAGTCGGGTCGATCGGGTGATGGCTCTAGGTGAGGTGATGGCTCTCGAATTGGAGGAAGTGGATGCTGCTCATCATCCGTGCCATCAAAAAAACTCTGACTAGCTTGCCACCAATCAGTGGCAAGCTCTTCCTCCGTGGGTGTCAGTCTTTGTAATGGAATGTTGGCCTCCTAAAATATAAAACTCAAACAAAGTTAAACGTCTACTATTAATAACTTGTTTATATATTATATGAAAGTATTTGTGTTAACTTACATTATTTATTGTCGCATATGGTATTAAGTCTTCCCAATCCAACAGAGTTTTCCTCTTCCAGGAAATAGCCCTGGGAATATCATTTGACGTTTTTATTGCATATGTACGCATGCTGGGGAAAGCCTCGAATATCCAAATCTACAAACAATATAATAACAAAATTAGTAATTGTTAAATAATTAATTATAATTTTAGAAACATTATATAGAAATTCTTACCTTAAAGGCCCAAACAAAGCCTGACAAAGTGTATTTGGACCCATCGCCCCGCAAACTTTTGCGGTCATCAAAGGCAGACGACAACTTAGTCCAGGTAGCTTTCCATATATACGAACCCCACGGAAACAGATTCCATGCATTCAGGTCCTCTACCAATATTATTAGCTCCCGATGAATAGGTTGTCTGGCCTCTCTGCCTAAAAAGCCGGCATACACAAGTAGTAGAAGGCATACTCGGACAACATCGACGTCATCCATCCGAGTGAAACCAGCTTTCTTATTAAACAATTTCTTCAGGTCGTCGACATGTAGGTTCGGCTTCTCCATTGACTCATCCGGAAAAACCCGGGATAACCATGATGGGCGGGCGATATGACGAGTGTACCGGCCTACATCATCGTGTCCGAATCGTAGACCAGTGATTAAACAGAACTCCTTCCGCCCAAAACAAGTATACGCTGGTGGAAAATGAAACCATATCTCTTCCTCACCACGTTGTATACTGTCGGGTAGATTTGATGTCATGGTCTGAAGCCACAAATGGGTCAAATTAGCATCTCCACCCGGATGCTGTACTCTCAGCCATGGCCCGAAGCAGGTTTCCTCAAACAATTGTCTTTGAGCAGGTGAAAGCTTCGAAGCAATTGTAGTGGCCAGGCTGACTTTATTTCTCAAGGTCAATTGAGCCGAAAAAAATTTCTACAAAACAATAAACATACCAAGTTAGATATACCAAAAACTACACTGTGAAGATATACCAAAAACAATAAACATAAAAAGTAGTAGTTTATTCTTGAAACTAAAATTTGCAACACTGTTTTGTCTTTTGGTTGAAATGAAAATCGCAACGAGAGAATCGCAACGCGAAATGAAAATCGCAACTAGAGAATCGCAACGCGAAATGAAAATCGCAACGCGAAATGAAAATCGCAATGCGATTTTGGTTTCGCGTTGCGATTCTCTCGTTGCGATTTTCATTTCGCGTTGCGATTCTCTAGTTGCGATTTTCATTTCTCTCGTTGTGACAGTCATTCTCTCGTTGCGATTTTCATTTATCTCGTTGCGACTCTTCTGCAAATTGAAACTTGAATGGATTGCATTACTTCAACCAAAAGACAGAACAAAGACAAAGACAAATACTAACTTGAAAATCGCAACGAGAGAATAGCAACGCGAAATGAAAATCGCAACGACAGAATCGTAACGCGAAATGAAATCTAAGTGAAATGGTTAATCTATTATTGAAATGACCAGTAAACTTATCATCAGTTTCAATATGAAAAACCTACAATAATGCAAACATTTCAAAATAAAAATAATTAAAAAAACTAACCATCGGAGGTTGATTTTCCATTTCTGAATATTGTGAGGGATTTCTGACCGTGAATGGTTGTGAGGGATTTCGCCGGAGATGGGGACGGAAATCTTCGGAGATGGGGACGAATTTCTTCGCCGTAGAGAGTGAGAGATGGAGATGGGACTGAGTTGTGATTTTAGGTTTTAGGTTATGAGTTGCGATTACGGGATTTTGTCTTAATATTGGTTTTTGTAATTTGAAAATAAAATACGCGTAGCGATTATAATGGCGCTTTAAATATCGCGTTGCGATTTACGGATACGCGTTGCGATTTTATGTATTATCGTTGCGATTTACGGATACGCGTTGCGATATACGGATACACGTTGCGATTTACGGATACGCGTTGCGATTTATGTGTTCGCGTTGCGATTTTCATATTCGCGTTGCGATTTTGGAAAATCGCAATGCGAATTTGTACTATCGCATTGCGATTTTCAAGAATCGCGTTGCGATTTTGGAAATTGATTTGCGATTCTGGGGATCGCGTTGCGATTTTGTTGGTCATTTTGGCAAATCCAAAAAAAGTTGGTTAAAATCGTATATTATAACTTTTTTTTGGTCACTGAGGCGATTTTCTCATAATATAATCCCCTGAAGAAATATTTAATTATCTTTTGATCCTCTTGTTTAGGCGTTTTTAATTTCATGTCCCTGGGCCTGGGCTTTTTCATTTTCATTCTTTGGCCGGAGCTACGGCATGCGTTCACCTCCAATCTTCTTCCTCCTTTCGGGCGGCGAACAAGATTCTCTTTTGGCATTCTCACTTCCCATCACTCTTCCACCTGGCCACGTTGTGTAGAGAGATGCTAATGGCTTCTCGATTATTCGCGACAGCCGCCGAGAAAATCAGGCCCGCGTCGATGAGGCTGCAAACCCTGTCTTTGACCGAAGCAGCCGCCTCCAGAATACGTCACCTTCTTCAACAACGCAATAGACCCTTCCTTCGATTGGGTGTTAAGGCTCGCGGTTGCAACGGCTTATCCTACACCCTCAACTACGCCGGTTCGTCTTATATTATAGATTTATAGTACTCTTGGCTTCTCTATCTTTATATTTGTGAAATGATTTAATTTTTTGGGAATTTATTTTTATTTGACGGAATTGACTGATAGATGAGAAAGGAAAGTTCGATGAATTGGTTGAAGACAAGGGCGTGCAAATATTGATTGAACCTAAAGCTTTGATGCATGTAATCGGAACCAAGATGGATTTTGTGGATGACAAACTTAGGTATTTCATATTTTAATCTTTTAGGAGCTTTATTTTATGTGTTTTTCCTATCATTTCGTTTCATTTGCTAGCTAAATATTGTGTCTTTATATGATCAACTGAATTGAGAAGCTTAAATTAGATTTAAAGCACTAACATTTGGCCATTCAGTAATCAGGGTATTATACCATTTAGTTTGTGCTTGTTTCTTATCCATAGGTGGAAAAAGTAGAAATTTTTGGTTTACCAATACATAAACCCTTGAAATTTTAAATTCTAATATTTCTTTATATTTTTTATTAATAATCTATTTTCGTGTACAAAAATAAATTTTATAAGTTCATCCTCTAAAACTTTATAAATTTTCTATCCTAATTTAAAATCCTCCTTTCATAAAATCATGCCCATTCATGGTTGTTATCCATACTTCATATGTTTCTTAGAATACACGTATCCTACATCTGTTGTCCAGCAGAATTCACATTACAACATGATTCTCCAAATATATATATATAACATAACAGTTCGAAGATACCCATATCTATTTTGACACTGAGAATCTGAATCACATTGTTCATGATATCTGACTAGTGTTGACTGTATAGCTGTTCTTGCCTATATAGTTTCTTCACTTTCTTTTGCTAGTAACAACTCATTCCAACAGTGGCCACATATTATAGTATTCTACCAATCGCCATCCACCTTCATTGCATCCTTTTTACAGTTGCTCGGTATGCTTTCCTGAACTCAGGCTGTTATTAGCAGAGCTTTTAACTGGATAATCTGGAATGTTGCACGTAAAAGCATCAAGATATACAGTTTTTGTTGCTTGAATCACTATGCTTTCTGTTACAAAAACTGTAACAGAAAAGTTACATAATTTGGCTTGAATCACAGTGCTTTCTGTTGCAGTTTTTGTTGCTTGCATTTTGATTGGTACTCAATCATCCCTTCACAGGTCTGAGTTCGTTTTTATCAACCCAAACTCGAAAGGCCAATGTGGATGCGGTGAATCTTTCATGACAACATCTGCTGCTAGTAGTGGATCTGCTAAACAGGGTCACAGTTAAAGGATACTGAGAGCCCTTTTAATAAGCTAAGATTAGAAATAACCTACTTGATTCCAGGGAGCTCTCAAATTTTCCCTTCGAAATAAACTAGAAGTTAAATGCTATTGGTTTTGTGGCAGTTGCTGCCAACTAATTGCATGAGTATAGATGGCATATATATTCAGTATTGCCGTATCATACACGGTTGTTCGGCATCTGAAAATCGTTGTGTATATTTCATTTCATTGGTGTTGTAATTGCTGATGATTGCTATATGGAAGTTGTCTGCGATTGAGCTAGCATGGTAGCCAATGTTTAGAAAAGCAAACTGCCAGATAGCTACTTCCATTTAAGCCATCTTCAAGGCTATTTTGAATGAATGAATCATTGAATGATGTGTTATTGGACCTTTGTGCTTTGTGGTTTGTGAAACGCATCAGTCGATTAAAGCAATTTCACACAGAGAGAGGAAGACAGTATGTGTCTGATATGATGTTTATTCAGATGAGGGTTTCAGGAAATTTATTGGAAGATAAAAGACTGTCTTGGTGTCTTGAGAAAAGTTCTATTAATTAGAGTTTTGTAAGAATTGGAACTCCAGACGTCATGTACTGTTATTGTGATTCCTGGTGTTATCTTCATTTATGAATCTTTTGAGCTGTTTATTTCACTTTACAATGGACAACTCGAGCTTCTTCTCATCTTTCTTAGTTTTTCTTTAGCTTTCCGAGATTTCGTCTGTGTTTTCAATTTCCGTTCCTCAAAACACTGCAAGAAAAATACACTAAAATTAGGAAGAAAAAAGCTGAAAAATGAATCATTTATAGGATTTATACATGTTACATGGGTAGATGTTTCCATTCGAACATTTTCTATGCTATGCACCAACTACATGCTTAGAAAAGAACACGAATACTTTACCTGTTGCTTTCTTTTCCTCTCCAGTTCTGCCTGTTATTGATACAAGAAGAAAGTAAATTCTTTATAGAATTGATGATAAAAGCTACCATGAAAACTCATCAAATTTGATGAAAATGAACAAAATGATGAAGTTGTGTTTACCAGAGCCTGCTTAAGGTGAGCATTTTCTTGTTTCAATTGGTTCAGTTCAGCTTCTAGCTCCACTGTATATGCCTGTAAAAAAACCAAACCAACCTTGTAAGAGGTACTTTCAGGGTCTCAATAGTTTCATTTCTTCAATAATAATCAATTTGATACATACCTGTTTTCGAGCTCTAGACCTTGCGGCAGACTCCCTGTTCTTAATCATCCTACGTTGCCTTCTCTCAACTACATTCTCTATTGGACCATCGAAGACCCTTTGCCTTCCTCGTACCGCCCCGATCTCCATCCCGAATTCTGAAACTGGATTATCGATTTGATTGGTACAAATCCTTTCCGATGAGACTGGGCTCATCGGTGCCACTACTCCGATTGTTTTTTCGGGACAATAGCCACCAGGAGGAGCTACATTCCCGTTATAACAAACAGCCGTCAGTGGTGGTGGTGCAGCAGGCTGGTAGCTACCACCAGTCTTACCATCATTAAAACCTGGAAGCATTGTCTGGTATGCAGTTCCACTAAAGCCAACAGGCCTGGAAACAAAACTTGAACCGACCACGGGGTTATTACTAGTCTGATACAACCCATATTGTGGTGGCTGATGATGCTGCGGAGGCGGTACCGATGGTGGGGGTGGTGGCATGCATTGTTCCCTTACTACCCCTGCCTTAATCAAGAAATCCTCCAAGGTCATCTCACCGAAAGTAGGCTGCCGCTGAGTATTGGCATCATCATCGGCATTAAGCTCATTGCTATTGTTACTCTGTCCTTGTCCTTGATGCCCTCTTTGTATCTCGGACCAAACTTCATCGACTGTCTTCCTACACAGCGGTGCAGGAAGCGTAAGAGAGGCTTGCCTTGCCAAGCTAGGCTGCTTAGCTATACCTCTACTGCTTGATGTTTCATTCACAGGCGGATGAAAATGGGAACCAACTTGTTTATTCGCCGAGTTGTTTTGATTATCGTTGGAGTTGATGGCTTGGTTTTCTTCGGCGTTCCAAATGCTGGTAAGGAACTCGTCCATGTTCATGGACCCAAAGTTCTTCCCACCCTCACACAGTGTATGCTGGAACTCATCAAGTGTTAGAGAATAGATTGAAGATTGTCTTCCAAGTTCTGAGAAAAGGTGGTTCTTCTGCTGCTGATCCGACGCCTGTAACGCTGACTCGACCTCGCCGGCCTCAGAGTCGGACACCGCCATTTTCTTTTTGGTGATGAAAAGCTCTTAATTATCTGCCTTGTCCAATTAGACCGAACCAACATAACAAATGTTACAAAGAAAGAGACCAAGAAAATTGTAAATCTTGTTTTAAACATTTAAAAACATAAAAAAGACAGAAAGACCATATGTATGTATATATGTGTAACATACCTGGTCCCAACGAGGAAGAAGATAATTTAGCTGAAAAAGAGGCTTAGTTTGTGAATGCTTCACAAAACCAACATCAAATCACTTTATATATATAGGATTCACGTATGATAAGACGATGATGATGAAGAGATGAGTTGCAGATGTGAAAATGCAATGGTTTTGTATGGATGAAAGGGGGAAGGTATATAAGTTGCGGGCGGAGTGGAGGGGGTCCAATCAAAGAGCAAGTTAAGGCTACATATAGTCAACCTAACGCAGGCAGGAAGTTGAGAATATAAAAACTGGGTCTCAAATTAAGCACTGCGGGCGGCTAAGGCTTCATCTGCTCGCCACGTTTGCCCAGGTGGCTCGCTCTCCCTTGCTTTGCTGCTCTGTGCTCAACGCGTGTGCTCTTTCGCCTTTTGCTCATCATCCTTACATTCAGAAATCACAACCTCCTTCATTATCTAATCTAAGCTTTCCATCAGGGATCTATACTGTGATTAGGGTGTAAATGAATTGTTAGTTAATCATTCCTTTATGTTTATCGCTAAGTTAAATAAATGAGTATGAATAAAAAATTTTATGTTTATTTAATGAACAAACGAACACGATAAAAGTGTGTTCGGTTCGTTTACGTTCATGAACAAGCTCGTTTATCGACTCATTTATTTATGTTCATGAACAAGTTTGTTTACTCAGCTCTTCTTTTCCTTTTATATTTTTCACATTTTAAATATTGGTAAAGGTAGAGACTAAATTGAACACATGATAAAAATTTAAATTTAAATTGTGGATTTTAAGGAGTTTAAGCACCAGTGGTGTAATTCTATCATTTTTCTTTAACTAGCAAATAAAAAGGTAAAACTAAAAATTAAATATATAAACGAACGATAAACGAATAATAAATAAATGCTAAACTAACACTAAATGAACGCTAAACGAACATATTCACGAATATTAAACGAACACAAACACCTTCAAAATCAAATAAAGGAACATGAACACGATATTAAAAAAAACCAACAAGAACCGAATACAAACACCTTAAAAATAAACAACCGAACACAAACATAACCTTATTCATTCAAGTTTAGTTCATTTACACAACTAACTGTGATTATTGTCACGTTTTCGGTTGCATCACGTTTAATGGAATTGTAAATATAATAATATGTGTTACTCCGATGATTACAAATATTGCAATTATATAATAACAACATTAAATAATACGGCTATCATTATATAAAAGACACACTATTATAATAACGTACCGCTATTTAAAATCTAGCTTTCTACTCCCTTATATTTAATAAGAAAGAAACGCTACCTCTTGTGTTTTGTTTAAGGGTTAAGTTGTCCAAGTGTCGGCCATTACTATAAGAATTACCATCATGATATTGTTTAAAGCTTTATAAATATTATATATTAGATTTTATCACAGTTTTGATGTTGCTGAATAGAAACCTTTCATATGTTAGACAAAATTATACAAATGGTAAGAGATTTGTATGTAAATTATATATTGCAGGTTTAAATCTTCAAGTAGTGATTTCCAATTTTTTATTTAAAAAGTATGTGGAATAATGAAGATAAAATTTTATATAATATCTAAAATAAATTATATTAAATTACATAATATACACATAAAACATTTTCATTCTAAAATTTGTAAAAAAAAAAATAATTTAAAGTCATATGACCCTTTTATTAATTATGAGAATACAGAGAGAGTAATTTATAGATCGAAGATGATTGTTTTTAAATAATTTGATATGATTATAATATATGTTTATTTTTAAATAAAAATTATAATATAATATTTGTTTATAATTTTAAAACCAATTATGTATATTTTTCCATTCCATTTCTTTTGTTGCTTTATTTTAAATTCATGCATTTTCTTTTATTAGTTCATTCGGAAAACTTTTAATTCTAACTCTTGTTCTTCTTGTTTATATCATCACACTTGTTCTACTTACAAGTATGTATTTCATTAAAAAAAATTATTATTTTAAAATCAAAATTATAATATGATAAGTAATGGGGTAGTTTCTAAACTTATTAAATTATTAATTATTTATGTTAACGTTATTTTCCATGTTTTAAAAAAAATATATTTTTTATTACAATAATTAAAGCGGTATTGTCCAAACTTATTACATTGTGACTTTCCCAATTATTTATAATATAGAGAAAGATATATCTGTGTTTATATTTTAAAACCAAATCTATATTAACAACTTTTCAAAAATCATTAAAAGGTACTAATTTTAGGTGTGGTTGGTTGCTTTAATCTTTACTGTCGAACTCAACTTTTACTCCGGTTTTGAATGCAAGCCACATACAATATTATTCTTTTTCCCGAAAATAATATTTTTATAAATATTCGGTCATTTCTAACTCAAAATATTGATGACGGCTCCCGTTTTAAAACATAGATAACAATTAAGAAAATAATTTTAGATGTAAATTAAGACTTCAAGTGATCATATTTTAAAATTAAATCTATATCCTTAATTTTTCAAGAATCAATAACAAAAAATGATTTTAGATAGGTATTTATTTTAGATGTAGTGAGATGCTTTAATTTTTACAGCGTTTACTTGACTCTCAAATCTAATTTTTACCGGTAGTTTTAAATGTAAGCCTATAAGATTGTCTTTTTTTCTTAAAGATAATTATTTTATAAATATTCAGTCATACTTGACTCGAAATGATCCACGATGACTTTTTTTTTTTTTTTTTGAAAATGGGGATAAAGAGCTTGAATACTAGTAAGGAAATATACAAACACAAAGACATTCAAAAGGGACCTCATTAAAAAACTTTAATTAATTTTTTAATATATATTAGAATTAATTGCATCATATATCCTCAAAGTATGATTCTATTTTGAATTGATCCCAAGACTTTTAAATATTCCAATTCATCCCTAAATTATGACTATCAATCAAAATTAGTCCTTAAACTTTTGAACATTTCAATTTTATCCCCAAACCATGACCTTCATTCTAAATTGATCCTTAAACGTTTTGAACATTCCTATTTCATATAAAACTATACGTGTATACTAATCACATCCCTTATTAATAAAATTGTTTGACCAAGTTATATTAGTATATGTTTGAAAGAAAGAAAGAAAAAACAAAACTTAGGTTAAGCTATGGTTGAAACTAATTACATATTTGGATGAATTTGGGGATGTATTCAGAAGTTTGGGGACCAATTTAGAAAGATGCTAATTAGAATATTAATAAGTTTAAAGACCAATTTAAAATGAGGGTTATATTTTGAGGATATATGATGCAATTAAATCTATATTTTAATTATTTACATATGTAATATATAAGATAAAATAATCACGTAAACAATTTTTCATATAAACTAAGGTAAATGTGACCTAAATTATTAGTTTTGTTTCATTTTAGTATCCAATTTTTTTAAATCATACCTAACGTTTATTTTAGGTTTTGCTTTGGTATATCTCTGTTAAAAACTTAACAGTTATGTTGATGTGTCACCATAAGATAATACTCTATCATCATTGAAAAAAAAATAAAAATCAGCGTCAGCAGTTCTGTTAAGTTTTTGATAGTGGAATAGCAAAATGAAACTTAAACTAACGTTAGATATGATTTTAAAAAATAAAGCTTTGATACTAAAATGGAATAAAAGTAATAGTTTAAGTACTAAATATGTAGTTTACTGAAGTGACATATGTACATAAATTATTGACATCATAATCCATTAACTGTTACCTCAATAAATTTAACAATTAACAGTAATAAAAAGTTTATAATTAAAAAATTAAATAGAGTAAAAGATTTAGTAATATCAACAAGGATTGGTTTAAGAGATAAGAGTTTGATATCATTTAAGAAAAATATTAAGTTCAAACCCTCGTGTATGTAGAAAATTCTTACTGAGAGACACACCCATCAAAATTAAGTGTATGACGTGAATTAATTCGGATTTATCGAAGCTAAAAAAAGATTTAGTAAATACTTTTTAGTACAAATTATTAAAAGATAAACCAGGAAAAAAGAGAAAAAAATATGATGATATAGAAGAAGAAAGTGGAATTAATGATGGCTCAAAATTCACGTTCCTTGATATTCAAGCATTGATAAATTGGCTTGACTGTGCCCTCCACACTTGTCCATTGATCTTCCCACGCGGACGACATCAACAATATACCATCATCATTCTCTTCTATTTTTAAAATACGAATTTATAAATTTGTTTATACTTGAAATAATTCATAATAATGCAGGCCTCTAAAGAAATAATAATAAACTCCCTGAGATTCTGCCATAAAAAACTGATTTTTTCTGCGTTTGTAATCATGTTTGCAGCGTATTAGCATTAAGCAAGTTTTATGCATTACGGTAAACTACATATTTCAAAATCATACCTTTACGTTGGATCAAGTACACAAATAGTTCATCGACTGTAAAATTATGTTTTGTTGAGTTCCTCGATTATTAAAAGTTATAAAATGATTCTTCAATTATAAGGTGTTGTTTTGTTGAGTCTCCGACTATTAAAAGTTATAAAACTATCACCCGATTATTTAGTATGTTTCAGGCTCGTCTTTTTCCGTTAAAAATTAACGGTAATATGAGCTTAATGTTAAATTCATGACTGAGATATGATAAAATTTGATCACATAATCTAAAAAAACTATCATATATCAGTCAACATGTTAACATTCAGCTTAGACTGTTGTCAATTTTTTAATGAAAAAAGAATGAGTTTAGAACATACTAAATAGTCGGGTGACCATTTTGTAGCTTTTAATAGTCGGGGAACTCAACAAAGCAACACCTTAGTCGAAGAACTATTTTGTAACTTTTAATAGTCTAATGACTCAACAAAGCATCACCCTATAGTCGAGGGTCTATTTGTATACTTTATCCTATTACGTTTTAGTTTTATTTTAATCACTCATATTTAGAAAATTAGCGGTAATGCTGACGTGTCACAATAAAGTAATGTCATCACCGAATTTTTATAAAAAAAATGTCTTATCAACAATTTTGTTAATTTTTAACAACATGTAATCAAAATGAAACCAAAACATAATATTAAGTATGATTTTGAAAAATAATAGTTAGGTGATCAAAACAGAAAAAAGTGATAGTTGGGATACCAAAAGTGTGGTTTACCCTATGCTGTAGTTGCTTCTAGCCTTCTATATATACCATCTGAACTTCCTGATTGAGTAGAGTGATTCGGTTTATTTGTGGCAGAAAATGGTAGAAAAAATGTGGGTTTTGATTTTACTATCGATTTTGTTGTTGCATGGCGATGAAACTTCAGCCTCAGACCCTGATCCGATCCAAGATTTCTGCATCCCAAACCCCAAATTCGGCGCCATAAAAACAGCCCATCTCACCATTCTCCCATGCAAAAACTCCTCGGAAGCATCCACCGACGATTTCGTCTTCTTGGGGTTAAAAGCCAGTGGGAACTTCACCGAAACAGGGCTTGCCACGATCCCGGTGAACCCAACAATCTTTCCTGGTATCAACACACTGGGGATGTCATTTGTGAGAGCCGATTTGAAAGCCGGTGGGATAAATCCACCCCATTTTCACCCCCGAGCCACCGAGATTGCCTATGTGGTGCAAGGCAGTGTTTATTCAGGCTTTGTGGATTCAAACAACCGAGTTTTCTCCAGGGTGATTGAGCAAGGAGAAGTTATGGTGTTCCCAAAAGGTCTGCTTCACTTCCAAATGAATGTTGGTGAGAAGCCTGTTACAATATTTGCATGTCTCAATAGCCAAAACCCAGGACTCCAAAAGATTCCCTCTGCCATTTTTGGATCTGGTATCAATGAGGAGCTTTTGGAGAAGGCTTTTGGTCTCAGCCATAAGCAGATTGGAACTATGAGAAGAAGATTTGATCCCAAAACAGTGACCTAAATTCCATTACTTGTTACAAAACCTTGTTGTAGTATAATGAAGATGGATAGATCAAAGATTACGTTGTCTGTTCGTGCTTAATTTGGTGTGAAATTTAAACTTGATTCATGTTTTTATACTAAATTTGAAAGACAGAATCATGGAGGAAGTCCATGCTTTAGTTTTCCATCAGTTTTCCCCTTTAACCAAACAATGTCTTTTTATAGTGATCATAAACAACAATGGTGAGTTTGGTTGAAGAATAACAAAATAGTAAGAATCTCAAGCACTCACTTATAAATAAAACTATGATCCGCTAGCATGCATCACATCATGATGTATCTAAAATGTCTTCATCGCAGTATTCACATCTCATCTGTAGTCGAGGGCGGGATTAGGATGAAATTATGGGAAGGGTCAAGTTACTTATCTTTGAAATTAATTGTTTATATTTGAAACTAACAAGGTTCTAAAAGGTAATTAAACCATAAATAAATAGAAGATTGAAGCTTAATTTCACTAATTTATAACCGTCGTGTCCTGCAAGATAATCAAACCAAAAAAAGTTAAGGACAAGACTTAATTTCATTTAATTTTGAAACCACAAAAAAAATAGAGGATTGAAGCTTAATTTCACTAATTTTAAAACCGTCATGTCCTGAAAGATAATCAAACCAAAAAAATTAAGGACAAGACTTAATTTCATTTAATTTTGAAACTGATAATGTCTTAAAAAATAATTAAACCAAAAAATTTAGGGAGAGGTCAGGACTTAATTTTAATGGTTTTAAAACTTTCAAGGGCTTCAAATAAAATTAAACCATAAAAGTTAAGGTGGCCATATACCCCTTCTCCTCCCATGTGATTTCGCCACTCATAGCCAAACCACAAATCTCTCCGGCACAGATATAGTTCGGGGTAAAGAACTGTTAACTAATCTAATATTTAATTAATTAAATAAAGATTTAATACAAAAATAAGTGATTAAATTATACCTCGAAAATCGTTTTAATACCTAAAGAATTTTTTTGTTAAAAATAGGTGTCTAACGTTTTCATCAGTGCACTTTTAGATATCTGGACCATAACGACCGTTAAATTTGGTCGTTAAATAACATGTGTCACGTTCTGAAAATTTTAAGAATTTATTTAAAAAATTAAAAAAAAACTCAAACAGCATATCGTGTCCCCTCCTCCTCTCCCCCTCACTTCTCCCTTACTCCTTCCATAGTTGCCAATCGACCAACCGTGACCACAACTTTCATCAGCATCGACCTCAATCAAACTTCCGTTACTTTTTATCGTAAATTATCACTGTTTTTCATTGATAAACATTCAAAGGTTCGTCGGATTTTAAGTCACCATCATTGTTTTTTGTCGATTCTGGTCGATCCCAACGTCCATAAGCCACACCGTCACCAACATTCAAACCACCGTGCAATTCCGATCAAAACCCAAGTGTTTGACGATGATGGTGGCTAAAGATGACTGATGACAGTTGGTAATAGGGTTGAAATGAGATATTTTAATTTTTTTAGATTTTTTATAATTTCATTAAAAATTTGAGTTTTTTTATAAATAAATTAAGTTTTTTTTTTAATTTTTTTAAAAAATAATATTTTATTATTAAAATTTTAAAAAATATAATTATAAACACCTAAAAGAATAATTTAAAAACTTATTTTTAGCAAAAAATTATTTATACTCCAAATCATTTTTAAAGTAAAATCTAGACGCTTATTATTGTATTAAGCCTTAAGTAAATAATTACTAAAATCAGTAACCCTCAAACAAGAATAGTCCGATGCCGGCCCGACCAGATATCTCCGATCCAAAACCCGAAAACTCTTATCCACCGTCGCTTGCGTTATCATATGTTCTCTTCTCCTCCCAGTAAAGCCTTTCCCCTTTCCTCGTTTCCTCTTTTACATTTCCGTTAACCGTAGTTATTAGTATTGTTTTTTCATGTAATGAAGTATGCATTTATTTTAACTCTTTTTCATCAGAAAATGCTTAATTTGCTAATAATTCGGCATCTTCTTATATCCAAACACATTTATTAGTCTCCCCTTCTAACCTTGATTTTAAACATGTTTGATTACGCTAGATAAGAAGCGGGGAGGCATCTGATTTTTTTGGGGTTTATGGCATTCGATCGGATCATATTGTAAGTTAAATCTTGCACATCGTAGTTATGGGGATTATTATTCATATTCTTTTATGATCCGCAGATACAGAAATTGGTGACTTAAATGCTATTTTATGTATGAAACAGTGGCAAGCAGTGCTCTTCCCACTTTTCTTGATTTCTCTTATGTATGCTGGATCATTGATGTTATTGGTGAATCAGTGGATGGAGCACAGGGATCAAGATAGAAGGCCATTGTTAGATTTTATCAAAAGCACCCTTCTTACGTTCCCAAGCCAGATGTCATCTGTCCCTTCCAATGTTATATTCTGGCGGACTTTAGTTGTAGTTAGTAAGCTTACCATTTGATTTTCTTCATCTTTGGGAGGAATGCAAAGTTTACAATTGTTTTAAATCCTGTAAATAGGTAAATTGCTTATGTCTATGCTCTTTTTCTAAATGTTGAGATTGAGAAGATGGGTTTTGGTTCCTTATTTTATGAAATAGTTTTTGTGATAGAGGGCATATTGTGTTATGTGTTCTGCTCCTTTTCGAATCCTTCAGTCCTTTGAAGAATAAGAATGATTGACCATTAGAAGGCCAATTGAAATAGTTTATTGTTGCTTCAGTCTTCAGTCCTTGATGGTACTTCAATGAACAGGCACCGTTAACAGAGGAGTTGGCGTTTAGAGCATTTATGATTTCTTTCCTTCTTTGTGGGGGATTTAAACCTTACGATGTCATTTTTCTCTTCCCTACTTTCTTCAGTTTAGGTGAGTCCTTTTTTCTTGAAAACAGCTGGAACGTTCGTGTTGAGCTGATTTGATGATCTTATGTTTTTTCTGGTGCTAAGCACTGATATTATATGTGTATCTGTTGTTTACATCTATTACCTTGATTGCATACCACTACTTACATATTGACGTTGTTCCTGTGTCAATCTATAATTGTTTTGTTTGCCACAGTATAGAGCAATTAAAGGGACACGGTTGGCACAAAGTGGATGCTTTGTTGAAATCTTATTTTCCATTTGCATATGTCCATACTTGCAGTTTTTGGTGCATTTACGCGTGCTTGTATATATAGGAGTTGTTGATGCTAAACATTTATCCATTGCATTTTGACTTGAATGACATGTAAACGTTTTAACTATGTTTTGTCAATTTCTTGCAGCACATTTGAACCATATGATGGAGATCTATAGCCGCCACAATTACAGCTTGCGTGAAGCTTCTATGGTTGTAGGTAAAAACTAGGTTTTCCTCCTTGAACTAGTAGCTGCAATTTTTGTTAAAGAGGGATTGTCTGTTTATGAAATTTAGGTATAAAATTTTTTTGTCTTGAAAATGTTCACACCTTTGTTCGAGGAATAAGACTTATATTTGATGATATTTTGTGCTCACGTGTCATGTTTCTTAGGCCTCCAGCTGGGTTACACTGTGGTCTTCGGTTCATATGCTTCGTTTCTCTTCATTCGAACAGGTTGGTAATTATTTGTAAATAAATCCTATCATCTCTATGATAAATTTTCACTGGAGTTAGTCTTTTGTATATATGCAGATAAAAATGATAAACAATGGGTACAAATTCTTGTCGTAGTGACTATAAATCCGAAATATCCTGACATTTAACCCAGATTTTATTGTCTTATTTTTCTTGTGATATATGCTTTTTGCTTACATATATCTCATTGGTTGCCATGGTTTTAGTTTGTCAGTCTCATTACAGTATCTTTCTAATTCTTGGTGGGAACCCTTGCTTCTCCTTTAGTTGCTCATGTATTTTGCAACTACATGGGATTGCCTGTACTATTTGTACAGAGGAAAGGTACACAAATACACCCCCATGTGTGTTTTTTTTTTAGTTCTCTTTCATAGTATACTAGCATGCCTGAACAATTTGGTGACATTTCTTGTTGGTTGTATTTGTAGGGGTAGTTATTGTGGCATTTATAGCTGGAATGTTGACCTTTGCATGGCTTATGTTTCCTTTAACACGGCTTGATTTGTATGATGAGAGAACCAATAGTTGTAGATGTTGGCAAGGATATTGTTTGTGGAACTAAGCCAACGACTTGTATAAAGAAATATTATTGTTCGATTGATGACTTCGTGTACACTTTTTTTTCCCTCATGCCTTGTACTATTTAGTTGTGTTCGCGGTCGTTTTGGATCGGTTTTTAGCTAAAAATTCATCTGATCTAAAAGTATAAATGTTTGCGGTTTGGATCGGTTTGGATGTTTCTAAAAAAATCCGATCCGATCCAATTAAGTGTAGCTTAATTCGGTTTGGATTTGTGCGGTTTTTGGATTCTAATTTTCCAAAATAATTCTTGAATTTTTTTCATAAAAAAACATATGGATAACAAAAGCAAAGAGAATATATATTTTAACAAATGCAAGCTTGTGAAGCTTACAAAGGGTTTCATTTTTTATTGAACTTGAAACGTTCTCGTTCAGCGCAGGGAGATAGTCATTCATTGTAAGAGACTATTGGTTCAATTCGGTTTGGATCGGTTTCGGATTTTCAAACCGAAACCGAACTGATCGGTTTTTAAAAAAAACCAAACACATTAAATCATTTTCGATTCTTTTCGGTTGTCGGTTTTTTGGATCGGTTTTCAATTATTTTTTTAGATCGATTGGATTTGAACACCCCTAGTACTATTTAGACCAGGGCTTTTGAGACCATTCAATTGTTGTAAAATGAGGAGAAATTGTTTTTTTTAATATATATCTAACATGTGCAAATATAATATTCAACGCTAGCATAATTCCGGTCTTTTATTTTCTCATTTAACAGCTGGTAGTAAGTTTCAATACGTAAATCTAGGAAAATTGGGCAGAAACGATTAAAATAATTGTTTTATTGAATCATAGAATTCATAAAGCAAGAGGTCGTTGTAGTATAGTGGTGAGCCTGTCACGCGGGTGACCCGGGTTTGATCCCCGGCAACGGCGTTTTTCACTTTTTCTCATTTTTATCTACAATGCAGTGCCGATGATGATCCATTCTCTTTAAGTTACCTTATATGTAGTTTCAATGTCTACACAATAATTTCAATATCTTATTCTCAGATTAAGAACTCCATTAATTTGCAGGCGACCGCAACTGTAAACATTGGATAATGTCCAACTGAGAAAATTGCAACTACGGCTCATGGGTTTGGCTTTATAGCTGCCCATCAAGAAGCCAAGTGAGGTTAGAAGAAGTCTTGTTACGAACCTTGTTCTTTTATCACATTAAACTTGTGAGATTCACCAATAGCATGTCATAATTTTTGCCATGCCCCCAACTAAATCCAACCGCCTGTCTTTCGGATTCGCAACAATGATTTTTAGTCAAATTTGTTGGCTAACGTTGTCTTGTTTCTTTTAGCTGCTGCTGTGGTATATCATTTTCTCAACTGAGTGAGAACACTTGTTTCTCTGTGTTAATCAATAAAGCATAAACCTGAATAGTTACCCACTTCCACTCATGCTAGCAGATCTAATATTCCACGCTAGCATAATTCCGATCTTTTCTCTTCTCATTTTACACCTGATAGTAAGTTTCAATTTGTGAATCCAGGAAAATTGAGCATAAAATAAAACACAGCTTTATTCGGAAAGCAAAAAACAAATAAATAAGAGGGGAGAGAAAAACAAGATTATTTTTTTTACCTTTCTCAATTTGCCTTTGCCGCTCAGGTAGTCTTATCTGTCTACAATGCAGTGTTCAAAACCTTTTCTTTTTTTTTATCTGAACAGATTTGTCACAACGTGATTTTTCTCATTTTTTCGATTGGATTTGATTTGACTAATGACCAACATCGTCGTCAACCTCGGCAGCGTTGATAGATGGAGTAATCAGCTTTCGTTACCAACGACTGCTTCTTCACAATTTCAGTGGAGGAGAAAAGAAACACCAACTCACTTCTTCAGTTCTCCGTTTTCCTCGCTCTATTGCTTCCACCGAACCCTCCAAGTGAGAAAATTGCAACTACAGCTCGTGGGTTTGTCTTTATAGCAGCCCATCAACAAGCCAAGTGAGGAGTAGTTGAAGTCTCGTTACCATTACCGACCCTGTTCTTTTCTCGCATCAAACTTCTGGGATTCATCAATACCATGCAATAAATATTATTATCATGTGTTGTTATAAAATAAAAATGATGCATGCCCATATCTTAAATTTGATTTCTTCTTTTTTACATTTTAATGCCAAATATTCATTTAACATTTGATCGATGGGTTTTAAGGACAAATTTGAAGGAATAAAGAATTAGACAAGGAGGCCAATGGAAGAACCCAGTGTTGCATCAAAGCTTTAATTAAAACATCGTTAGCAACATGTAATGAATGTTTTGATTAAGATAACAGAAAGAAAAGAAAAGAAACATCTTTGGTGGGTTGGCTTATCCAAATTGAGGGATTCATCAGTAGATTAAAATAATAATGCCTCCTAAATACTACGCGCTAATCTTTTGGCTTCATCATTATGTTCTTTATTTGTCAATTTTGGTGCTTCTTTAGCTTTCTCTATGGTGTGAACTTGGAGATTCTTCTTAAAGTTTAATAATGAGATTGTTACATTTATATTAGATAATGTGTTAATGATATTTATTACATGTTTTAAGTAGTAAACTTTGAGCATAAGGTTTGAATAACAAAATTATGATTTTACGTTTTAAGGAAATACAACTTAATATAAGGTTATGAAAATGCGCTACTGAAAATGTTAATATTTTTTTAACATTTCTAGTCGAGCGTTACCTAAAATGTTATTTTTTCTACCGGAAATATTAATATCGGACGCTACCTAAAATGCTATTTTTTTTTCTATCTGAAAATGTTAATATTGGAAATATTCATTTTGGTAGCGAAATTAATATTTCCGGTAGAAAAATTAACATTTTACGTAGCGTTCTACCAGAAATATTAAAAAAATTTAACATTTCTGATAACGTCTTTCCTAAGCCTTATATTAAGTTGTCATACATCATAACTACGCATGATTTTATAGGCTACTTCATAATACTTAAAACGGTGTCTAATACTAGGGGCGAACAAAAGAGGGGTATATGGGGCCATGACCCTCAAAAATTGAAAATTTATAGTTTAGTCCTTTATTTTTTTTAAACTTTTAATTTGGTCTCCATAAAAATTTAGAAATCCAGATTAAGTTTTAAAATTTTTTAATATTCTTTATTAAACCCTCCCATAATTTTTATAAATTCTCATCAAGCCTCTCAAAATTTCAAAACTCATAGTTATACCCCATTTTTTCTCAACATAATTTTATCTTTTGGTGTTACAACACATATTAAGGAATATATCTCAAAAAATTATTTCCAGTTCTATCCTCGTTCTTAACTTACGGTTCTGATTTTTCGTTTAATTTTTGTTTTATACTATTATTTCTTTATAATGATTTTATTTATTCAAATTAAAATGAATGAAGTGTCACTAACTTTCATAATCATTGTCTCTTCCCATGTTGATGGTCAACGAAACTAATTATTTTATATATCAATAATAATTTTGTTTACAATTATTGTCGATCCGAATTAGTTATGACAAAATTTTGAAGAACCGAGAGGATAAAAAAATTGTATTTTCACCTCAAGTTATTAAAATATAGAAAAATAACAATGAAGGTGTGAAACGAAATCTATGAGATAGAACACAAACCTAAATAAGGTATAAAGCTATTATAAAAAAGAGTTAAAAAGGAAAGCAATTAGTTTGGGCTTTGAACAATTGGTCCAGTCCTTCTCAAATGTATAAATTAAACAAAGAATGAGCAATAGCTGCCGTTGTTTCTTTGGGATTGGATTTTGTGGGGTTTCACAAAGCACCAAATTAATGGAAAAACAAAATGTATTGAGATTTTTGGATTTAATCATTGGCATCCGATCTATTGATCTTCTAATCCATATCAGATATTGCAGAGGTGAGGGCAATCCTCCCAACCCAATTTGTTCTATTCACAAACGTCGGAATTCAAATCCTTGATTTTCCTTAAAAAAATCTAGTGTATTGTTCCACTAAATTAACTTGTTGTTGGTAAAATGTGTTGAGATTTTAATAGTAAATATGCATTCTCAAAATAATAAAGCCCACCGGCACTAACTAAACTTTTGTCCCTCTGTGACATGATGATTTTGGTGTGGTCCCTAAAATCTTAGCGCTAAAAAGTTGAAAATGTAATCTAGTGTACGGGAAAAGATTAAGGGACCCGATCGTATTTTTGAAAATTTTAAATATTCATATAATTTAAATATTTTTTATTTTCTATTGATGATTTAATTTTATATTTTTAAAATTTTTATAATTTTATGTCTCTAAATTTTTTATATATTTTTCTAAATTTATATATACTAACATAAAATCGTACGAATGTTCGTGTTTAATAAGATATAAAAATCCTCTAAGGCTACTGCTAAGCTCACGTGTAGGGTTGGATGCAGTTGCTAAGCATGATCATGTTGAATTTCCCATCATTAGCCATGCAGGGGATTGGTATCATGACAAATCATTAGCTATGACCTCAGAAAAAAAGAAGTTGAAATTGTTTGCTATACACAACAACATTGTGATTTTCTAAGATTTTTCTACATAATATTATTTTCATTAAACCTTTTGATTAGAATTATAATAATAAATCATCCAATAATTAAAGAGAAGACATGATAAAAGATTAAAAGCCAAAAGAAGAAGAAAAAAGAAAAAGAAAATCATCATGCAAGGATATGAAAAGAGAAATGAGGCCATGATAAACAAATATATTTTTATAGCTTTCACGTGTGTAGCTGAAGCATTTTAATACTGCCCCAATCATATTTGTACACTTGTTAAAAAAATTTATATAAAATCAACTGTCCCTTCTCCATCAATAATTTTATTTTATTTTAAATTAATTAATGTGTTGTTTAAAGAATGTTAATAACCAATGTGACTTTGTGCATGCAAATCTCTTGAGCTTTGCTATAAAAATGTTTAAGTATATGAACCCTTAACTACTGAAAAATAACATAAAAGGGCAAAAA